GTTCTTTAAATATTTGTTCTTTTTTGGATTTAATTAGTCGTATATGCTATATGAACTACCAGCACCAATGTTTGAATTTGAACCTTTCCAAATTTAAAACACTTAGCCATGTTTAGCCAATTGACTCAATACCAAACGACTCTTTTTTGTTAATTTCTTATTATTTTGGTTTCAATTTTATCAGTTGTTGTTATTATTTTTGTTATTTTAGTTTTTATTGGGTTCTAAAAAATTATTTTTGTATATTATATTATAGCAAACGCTTGACTTACAGCTATATATGTTTGTATTAATTATTATGGTTTTGTTGTAAGATACCAGTGTTATCCTGTTCAGAATAGTTTTTATTGAATTTAATTTATAAATCACAGTCAGTCATTGTGATCGCAGTAACAATTATGTAGTTTCAGCAAAGTTCAGCAAAGGGTAATTGAGATCATAGTTCAGTAAACAGTTGTTGTAATCACAGTTCCACAAACAGTGATTGTGGACAAACAGTAACTGTGCAACAAATTGTATGTAAAAATAATATATATATATATATATTTATATATATAAATATTTTAATTGTAAAGTTAAAATATTGAATTAAAGTTTTAAAAACTTTAAATTTATTTTAATATATAACACACAAAACGATACAAAAACAAAAAACAAAATAACTCTTTACATGAAGCAACCTTTTCATACATTTTACAAGGTATTACAAAAACAACAATAACACACAGAAATCGTTTCATTTTTCTGTTTTAAAAAAAAACACCCGACGTTTTGAAAAATAATAGTTATTTTTGAATTTCATGTTTGTAAGGCAAAAATAATAATTATTCGAGTCTATGAGTCATTTGTGTGTGAAACAGTGAAAGTCACATAAAAATAATTAGTTTTGAAAAATATATAAAGAAAATTAAATTAATATTTTTTGTGTTTTACTTTAAAATGCGAATGATAAGAGTGATTAATTGATTTTTATTTTTTTCATAATAAGTAACAGTTCCTGCATCATAGTGATTCTTGGATCACAGTTTTACTCATCTCTTCTATTACCTCCATTGCTTAATTTTGTTTTTAATTTTTTGAGTTGTTATTTTAAAGTCGGTTTTATTTTTTAAGGTTTCAATTGCTAATATAAGAAATTCTCCTGATGAAGATAAATACGAATTTGCCGAAATATGTATAGAAATATACAAAAAATATGATCGAAATAAAAGTTAAAATTCTAAAAAACAAAACCGACTTTATTACTCCATTGTCACTAAGTCAATATTCCAATGATGTATATAACCAAGTGCTATACAATTTAGTTTTCTATGAAACATCCTTGTTAAATAACTTGTATTCAGATACTAGTACCATTCTATATATTTATATATATTAAGATTACTGGTCTTTAATGACATAGAAAAGAAATTAAAATAAATCTTACACTCGTAATTATTTATTTTCTTAAAAAAATATTTAATATATAAAACCAATTTGCTTATAAAAATAAAGAAGTTTTAGTTAAAGGACATTCTCAATTAGTCTTTTATTGCTTAAATAGCAATGAAGTAAAATGTGAAACATATTTTTACGTTCATGCAAGCATTTGTTAAGATTTGGCGCAAATAATAAATTTTCTGAATACAAATTATACCCATTGGAGCACCAAAACTGGACCGAGCTTAGCGATAAATAAGCAAGAAAGTGTCCTGACATAAAAACTGTTTTATTTACACACTGACACATTGACACTGGCTGGCATGGCAATTGTTTTCGTACAAATTTTGTACAAAATTTGTAGAGAAAAATGGCGTAAAACATGCGATTTAAGTTGACTTAAGTACAAAGGACCTAAAATATCCTGCGAGTAGTGACGCAATAAAAGCAGAAAAATTAAAGTAATTTTATGCTGCGCCAAAATTCACTGCTTACCGAAAATTTCAAAGAAATGAAAATAAATATAATAAAGGAAAAAACAATGACGCATTAATAAATTACATAAATTAGGACACTCGTATCGTTTGAAATTGATTGTATTGATATTATAAGGGAAAATAAGATTTTTGCCTTGGATAAGATTATCCTCGACATAAAACTAATCACATATGCGTTTCAATAAAAATATGTCTTTAGCGTATTAATATTGAATAAAAGTAATAAAATGTTTTTTAATCTTACGTGACGGATCTCATAGTGCCATAACTTCGTCACCGCCTCCTCCACCAGTATCGCCCAAATTATTTTGTGAGCCCATGTTATTTTTAGCTAATATTGTGTCCGTATCCACACAGCCTTTAAATCGCATTTTCGCATCATCCCCCACATAAACCGTTTTTTGACATAACAATAGCACAAGACAGGACACAACAAAGAGAACTGATGGTACTATTGAAGCAACAACAAATTGCCTGTAAGTAACTTCCAAATCGAAACGTGCAACAACAATATCCTTCTTTAATGGTGAATAAAAACATGGAAAGCGTGCTCGGGCATTGTGATCGCTACCATCGCGTCCGAAATCCTTAAGAAATTCTTTGCATTCATCCATCAGCGTATTTACGCAACCTTCCAAATTAATCATTAATTTTGATTCATTGGATATGGTCAAATCGACATCAGGTGGTGCAATTTCTGGAATTGGTACAGCAACAGATGCATGCAAATGACTGAGATATGTAAAGTTTGTCAAATCAGTCAACATATTGTGTTCCAGTGTGGAGCCATTTATGCAATCAACAGCTTCCACTCTATCTGATGTATTTTTAATGAAATAACATGAGGTCATTACTACATTATCAGCAGATTCATTCCAAACTTCCTCTTCGGTATCTGCATTTATTGCATTTTGACACTGCGAAAGATACACCTTATCGCCACTTAGTACCACAACATTTTTATTACGAGTTGGTATATCCACACAACGTCGATCACAGTTGTATGGCGTGCGTATTTTCCTACATGTGCCACGATTGCATGAGAATAACCCACTTATATCCATGCAATTTATTTTACCACGCCGCCCGGAACACTTAACTGGTGAATCACTATTATGAAAGACACATTCAAATGCATCCGTTATATTCAGACACTGTCCTGCGGTGCAATTAAAAGTACCTGTCAAATTTTTGCATTCATCATTGATGCAACGCGCTTTATCGGCACGGTCCTGATCAATGCCATAGCATGTTTTATTCGCTGAGTTCGTACAATTTTGGAAGGTAATGTTAGTGCCATTATTACGTAAATTCACATAGATTTGTATGCAGGCGCCCGAAGTTTTACTCAGACACCATTCACCACACGAACCCCATTCACAGTTGTCCTTGTTGACAGCACGTGTTGTTGTGCACATGACTGGAGTTGGATCGATACCACTTTTGAAAGCGCGCGTTGATGGCATATAAATGGCAACTGTCAAGTACACCAATGCCACCGAACTGAGCACAAGTGTCATTTGACATACGCATATAGTGCCACATATGCGATTATCTTGCGGTGGCACAATTAAATCTTCGCTGGGCACTTTTTTCTTGCCCATTTCGTTAATGTATTACTATGTTTAGGATAGTATTAGAAAAGTGCTAATAGGGCGGGATAGAAGAAGTTAGTAAAAAAGTAAAAAATTGCCTTTTTGGCAATGCAGGTATATACGTCTAACGTTATACCTTTTAAACTAATGGCATTAAGGCATTAGGGTACCCTCATATTGGCTTGGCGTACATATCTATGGCAGCTAAAATGGAGAAAATCGTAGGAAATCTTTTGATTACTTTTATTTTTCTCTTATTTTTATTATCGATTACGCGTGACTGTATTTTGCTGAGTTGAGGTTATGCGATTCACTTTTAATGGCTGTGGCTCAGGTGGCCGCCGTCATTTGATTGAGCGTTTCAACTTATATAACAAAACTGCTTATTGCGTGAAATATTAAAAATTTTTCATTTCAATTTTTACTCTCATTTAATTCAATTATTTAATAAACTTTTATTTACAGCTAATGACGTTTTAATAAAATTTAGAATGCAATATTTTGCAGTATTGATTTTTATTAGCCTGCTGCCTTGCACTACTTTCTACTGCAAATACTGAATTTTTTTTAATTGAGCATTTATTTTTCATTGAACGGAACTTTATGTGAATAACTGCAATATGTTTACTTATATATTTTTATACTTTGTTATATTTATTAAAATATTAAATTTTTTAATATTTTATTTGAACTTGAACACTTTTTCTGTTTTTTTTTCAAACATTTTTATTGCTATTTTGTTCCACTCAAATTTTTGTTGCAGTTTTTCCTCAGGCTTTACTGGCAACTAAATTACTTTTTTAGTTCGTTGTTACAGATTTGTGACGTCCCGACCATCGACAATGTGTCGGATATATGCGAAAGGTCTGTGATATTTTGGCACGAGTAACGCCAAGAGATTTTTATTTTGCAAAAGCTAAAATCAAATCAGTGCGCGCGCACCCCATACAAAAATCAATAAAATTTTATTTCTCTCATAAGGTTTTGCTAGGTTTTATGTGATTCTGCAGTAGTATTACTCTTTATCCTTGTTTATCTTCTTCATCTCTGAATTCGTAAATATTTTGTTAATCCCTACCACTACATGGGTACTGCAATCCATGGTAATTCAATCATGCCTACACAATTTTATAAATGAAGTTTATCTGTATGGAATTTATATTTAGACAAATTTCAGTTTGAGATATCAAATTATATAAAAAAAAAATTATATAAAAAAAAAATTTTATATACAAAAAAATATGTTTACGAAAAAATTTTTATTAAAAACATAACTATTAGAAGTCAAACAACATTGATTAGATTTTTATCAATTTGGGGTTTTGTGCTTAGAATTATAAATAGAATAAAAAATGCAAAAATAAACTCAAATATATAATAAGTAGAAAATCAGAATGAATTTAAACTTGTATAATTTTTACAGCCATTTCTTTTTTATTACTATATCTTAACTGTACAAAAGTCTCCAAACATCTTCAAAGTAATAATAATTTATTACTAATAAAATTTGTTATTTCAATACCCTTCATGCTGTTGTGAACTAAGGATAAATTAAGTTTATTAAGACGTTTGTAACGCAGTGCAAAAAACCATATATATTTTTGATTAAAACAATATGACTGTCTATCTCAAGGATAATCAATCCATTTGTAGCTACTGAAAATTTACACATCTATATTAGTAGTGAGATTTTATAACCGCCTATCGGCTATACTGTATTAGTGACATATAAAGTAAGTAAGTAAGTAAGTAAGTAATTTTATTTTATAAAATAAGTTTTTTGACCAAAAAATTGTTGATCAAAGCTCGAAATTCCTAGTCATTTGTAAAAAAAATTAAAGAGGGAGTTCTTAAAAACTTATATTGTCTTTGTTATTGTGTGATCCATATTCAGCAATATTTACTTCTGAATTTATGAACCCAATGTCATTCTTTGAGACAACACTTGTTTAATGCATACTGACAAATAAGCTATTTTATTTTGAAGAATTAAAAGAAATTAAAACCCCAGAAAAAAAGCAAATAATGATGTAGTACCTACATAATACTTAGTTTTAAATTTTATTAAAAGATTTACTTGGTTAGAGTATAGAAGGATCAAAAACTGGTTTGTAAAATAACTATGGATGCTATTAAACCATTATTTCATGGGAATTTAAGCGTAAAAAACAAAATTCTTGCTAAAATACAGCATCAATTACTAATAAAAAAAAATCAGACATACCAATTAGTATTTTAAGATATATATTAAAAGGGCCATGTGATTGTCAGAAATGAAGCTACGCCCAAAAACTTAAGATAGTTGATAGCATAATACTCAGGAACCTATTTACATCGATCCATCAAAAATCCAACATGACGACGAAGGCAAATATTTGGGTGTTACACTGTATGTCAAATTGCGCTTGAAAGCACGACATATGGTATTTAAGCCGACAATATATTAAAGTGGTTGACGATGTGTTGGAGTCTCATATAAAATAATTTAAAGAAATGAATTGATGGCTTTTAATGTTAAATACTTATGTGCATTAATTTGCAATTATTGGATTTACATATTAAATTTAAAACAAATCGGTTTAGACTCAGCGAAAGTAGCACATATTTAGTTTGGGCGCATTGACATGCTGTTTTCAAGCACTATTTGTTTTCATGTTAGTATATAAAGAGCAATGTAATAAAAATGATATTAATTTATTTTAATATTTGATAAAAAGTGATTGATTTATTAAATCAAGTGTAAAATTTTATTATACAAATACACTTCTATGACACTGCGCAAGGTTGATTATAGCCGGGTACTAAGTAATTAAAGTAATTAAACTACAGTATAATCGTGCATTAGATAACTAGTCAAAATCCAGTTGTTCACAATCCACGTCGAAGTTTCCAGCGTTATGTTCAATTCCAAATACATCATGGACCACTTGCTGTTCAAAAGGATGGAACAAACTCTTCAACAAATACTTGTTTAATTCATTCTTTTAGCTTAACAATTGGCTTTCTGCTTAAAGTAGAAAATCCGTCAACAAATGTAAGTGGCATTACGCTTCATATTCCTTCTTCATTAGATATATTGGAAACTAGCTTACAAAGATCGATTCGAATGACGAATAACTCCGGTGTCCAAATTGCCATCGGAAGCGAAAACAACGAAATATACCTATGTATAATTCTCCCCCAATATACTTACCTTCTTCATTTTCTTATCGATATTTGTCGACCTTCTATTCACAACTTCAAAATCCTCATCCAATTTTCTTTCACTATGGCCACTTTTACAGCTAACGTTCGGAATCGTTTAAAAGAAATGGTTATCCGTTTGATGACTTGGTTTCTGATTTCTGACTCCGAAGTTGCCGGTTCCCGAATCACTATTTTTATCATCGAACTCATTTTGTTGCGGCGGATATTGATAAGAACACTCATTGTCATTGCCACTGTTTGAAAACATTTGATATTATATTTGAAAATTGAATTTTTATATACTAAATATGTGCGAGGTAACAATTATAACACATTACACGGTGACGACGACTAATTTATGATTGGCTGGCGCTAGCAGCTCCATCACCAGAATCTTAGTCTATATAGAAAACGATAACGACTAATCTCATTTAAAACAAATTGTTAATCAAACAAATAATTTTATGTCCACATATTTGAATAATTAATATTTAAGTTGCAATCTCCATATTTTAAACATAGCGTATGGCTATACGTATAGTACATATGGTAAAAAATATGCAAAAAAGTGCCTTAAATATGTCACTCATACGCCAAAACTAAATTTTTTAAATATGGTATTTACTTTAAGATATTGCCGTAATGGTTTTTTTGTTTCAATTATTTTAATAACATCACACTAATTATTTCGATTTCAATATTTTGAAATATTTTTTAAATATCATATCACATATAGTCATTAGGATAGCCTATTCTCATTCATTTATACTTAGCAATGAAAAAAGTGTATTTAGTACTACTATGTCAGTACTATGTCAGTATACTAACAGTATTAACATATTTCAACTTCAAGATCTTTCCGAATATTTTTATTTCTGATACACCATGATGTTTGCGATTAACGAAAACATGTTTGATTGATTAATGCTCAGTCTATGTTTCGTTCCATATTTGAGGAACTCTCATTGTCAAACAAATGAAAACAATATATAAAAAGGGGTTCGAGAGAGTAAATAAATTTTTGAATAGTGAAGAGTTCTTGATGCAATTATCTTATAAATTATAAGCATATTAAACACACTCTTGTGATTATGTTTATCATTTTATTAATTCTTTTTTATCTACATCTTTTTATGATTTTATATCTAATTATCTCTCTTAATAAATATAACATTCAAAGAATGATTAATTTTCGAATAGTTCGTGAAAAAAAAAAAATTTTACTGCAGAAAAATATTTGTATGTTTGTATGATAATTTTTTTTTTACGGATTTTTTTTTTTTTTTAAATATCTAACGCATTGTCGCTATGTGGTGACAATAGTTCTGTGCCCGATTTGCACAGACTAAAACAGTCCCCATCATGTACCAGACCGTTTCTATTCTGGAACTTTATCGGAAATACTTCAAGATAGGCCCCTTATGTTGGTTTTTCATTAAAAAATTTTGTTTCCCTTTGTATGTTTGTATGATAATAAGGTATTGATATGTACAAAGTGTATATAATAAACCAAATTTTCTAAAAAAAAAACATTTTTACAAAAATCCATTTGAACTATATAATATTAAAATTGTTATGTTTTAAAATAAGATAACAAGTACAGAATTCCGTACTAACATAGTACAAACTCAGCAAATAGTTTTTATTTTTACATTCTATTTGTTGTTATGTTTAGAATAAAACATAATTTCTTGGTATTTGTTTCAAAAGATTATAATTAAATATATTCAGTTAAAAAATAAAGAATATTATTTTAATTAAAAATATTTTTACAGTAAATCATTATCAGAAATTGTAATAACCAGGTATATATATTTCCTATCAGCACAATACGATATTTGTTCGTCTATGTTAGTCTGTCTGTCTATTTGATAGATATCTGTTTGACAGTTAATATGGTATATTAATTATTCTATAAGTTTTTTGAATAAAATATTGTAAAATACTAGTTGTATCTACAATAAGCTACGAGTTAGTTATAAAAAATTGCGTTAAATTTT